TCTTGTCGGCCGCGCTGCAAGGCCGAGCCACGAAAAAAGAGGGCGACGGCGACGGCGACGGCGACGGCGAGGGCGACGGTGGCAGCGGCCCCCGGGGCAGAGGGGGTAGGCCGACGGGGTGTGCAGGGAGGAGAGGAGCGGCGTGGGCAGTGGCGCCGGGTTGGGGCACCAGAGAAGGGGCAAACGAGTGTGTGTGTGAAGACGGACTGACAGGGTGGGAGTGAGAGTGTGTCTGGACGAGTGGCCTCGAGAAGACCGGCGGCCTCGAGCCTCTGACCGTCGACGGTGTCGGCAGGTGACTGACGCACGAGGCGGCGGTCTGTGGCGCGGCAGGCTCTGGCGCGGCGCCGCAAGCAGGACGGAAGGTGTGCGAGGTGGCGAGAACCGGCGTCTGCGATGGCGCCGGCGCCGACGACGACGCGGTCCCGGCCGCCGGACTCGGACGCAGCCGGCGCTGGGGCACAGGAGCGCCGGGCGCGCAAGTCGGCTTGACGAAACCGGTCGGCGGCGACTGCGGCTGGCACGAGAGGCCGGACACACAGTTGCTACGGCCGGTGGTGGGGCAATTGGTACCGGCGAGGCAGGTCGCGGCGCTGCGAGCCTGGCCGGTGGCTTGGCGCAACGGTCGCGATGGAGACACTTGCGGAGAGCCGGTCAGACAGGCTTGCAGTCTCTTGGCGCAGCCTAGAAATGGCAAGTGGAATAGGCATTTTGTGAATAAGTCTTATCCACGAGATTATGACACTTTGAAGGCATGCTCACATAGCAACGATAAAAAACATTGGTTATTTTGAGCTTTTAAACGGGTTTTCGCGATGCATTCAGCCATTCGCGTTTAAGGTGATAAGGGTGATAAGTAAAGTAACCATGGCAGTCCGACGTAGCGACTGATGCGTTGAGATTATACGCTGAACCGGCATGGTTCGAGTCCCGCTGGGGCTGCAGCTGGGAGCGGATGGAGCGACGGCGAAACTGGAGTCCACTGCAGCCGGGGATGGAATGCATTTTGGGGAAGCGAAGATAGGTGAAATTGAATAGAAAACGCAACTACCAGTCCTCCTATGCCCTTAAACGCTAATGCTTAATTGAAGATGTGAAGACCAAGATGTTGTGGTCTCGGGTATGGTCGCAGTCTCCTTTCGACGTATAGAAGTGGGTTGACCTCGTTGTCGCAACTTGGTCTTGTGTTCAGGGCGACTATGTAGAACACACCGAGTCCGAAGTCGTCTGCCATAGTAGTCGGATGCTGGGAATCAAGACAATTACAATGGC